TAAAAAATACAACAGAGAGCTTCAACAGCCAGACTAGATCAAGCAGAAGAAAGAATATCTGAACTTGAAGATAGGTTGTTTGAAATTAGGTGAGTGAAAATAAAAATAAAAAAAGAAAAAAGAATGAAAAAGACCTATAGAACTTATGAGACACCATTAAGCAAGCACATATTTGTATTATGAGACATCTGGAAGGAGAAGAGATGGGAAAAGTCATAGAAAACCTATTTAACAAAATAATAGTTAAAAACTTTCAAAGTCTTGGGAGAGTTATGAAGACCCAGATCCAGTAAGCTCAAAGTCCCCAAATATATTCAACCCCAAAAGATCCTTCCTGAGGCAAATTATAGTCAAATTGTTAAACGTCAAAGATAAAAAGAGAATTCTAAAAACATCAGGAGAAAAGCATCAAGTCACATATAAGGGAATCCACATTAGACTTACAGCAGGTTTCTCTGCAGAAACTCTACAAGGAGATGGCGGGGCCATATTTTCAAAGTGCTGAAAGAAAATAATTGATGCCCTAGAACACTATACCAAACCAAGAAAAGCTATCCTTAAGAACTGAAGGAGAAATAAAGGTTTTCCAGACAAGCAAAAACTGAGGGAATTCATCACCATTAGACTGACCTTTCAAGAAATGCTCAAGGGAGTCCTACATACAATGATAGGTCCAACGATACCATCATCATAACACCCTCCTCCCCCACCGACCCCTACACACAAATTGTTGCTGATCTCATTGCCTGCTGATGGCACTTACTCTGTTGCTTTGTTCTTAGGTAACAGACTCATAGGAAAGAAGATAATCTCTGTATATTACATTTCCCATTTCCCACTTCGATGGATTTTTTTTTTTCTTTAGCATGACTCAGGGGACTGAGACATCTGTATAGGCTCATAAAAATGCTTTTACAGTCAGGTTCTCAGCTTGTTAAATGAAGGGATTGTCAATTCTGAGAAGACTTCTTCATTAGTAGAGTGTGTGACTATTTACTCCTTGACTTATTTTAAGAGGGTAGGTCCCATGTTCTCACTCATAGGAGGGTGTTGAACAATGAGAACACATGGACACAGGGAGGGGAGCACTACACACTGGGGTCTGTTGGGGGGAATAGTGGAGGGACAGTGGGGGTTGGGGAGTTGGGGAGAGATAGCATGGGGAGAAATGCCAGATGTAGGTGAAGGGGAGGAAGGCAGCAAATCACACTGCCACGTGTGTACCTATGCAACTATCTTGCATGTTCTTTACATGGACCCCAAAATCTAAAATGCAATACAAAAAAAAGAAAATACAGAACACAACAACAACAACAACAACAACAAAGAGGGTAGGTATATCCCTTTTCCCCTCACTCTTGGACTTAGGAACAGGTTGCAGAGGTATGCAAAGCCCTTGAAGTGATTTATTTACGGACTTCCCTGTCCCTGTTTCTATTTATTCATCTTCTCGTTCACCAACATTTAAAATCCTGTCTTCTTTACCTAACACATTCATATCCGGGACTATTTATCCTCTGCAATATATATGATTTTGCTCCATCCATTATGTCCTCGTTCTACTTTTGTCCACTTCCTCTTGCAATAATAAATAATGCAACTTTGTTGTTTCTCAGCTTTCATCTCACCTCCTTATATTCATACAATAATTTAAAGTATACCATACTTTATGTATGGAGCATTTTTATGTTGAATCACTATCATTTGTTGACCTCTTTCTCCTATAAACAGTACCTAAATTTCCCTTTGGGGAATTTTTTTTAAGTAAACATTTTCAGGTTTGCATAGTTGGAATTGATGCTATACCTGGTTATAGGATAGAATGCCATGAATATTGCATATTAGGTAGCATTTCTCATCTCATTCACAATCACAGTGTCTGGTTTATAGGTAGATAGTCATGTAATACCACCATAGTAAATCATGTAGGAGGGTTCTTGAATTCGTTTTTGCATATGAAAACGCTCTTTCCACAGGATAACTGGTACATTGTCCACTGGATACAGAGAGGATCTATCCCTAAGTGTTAGCAGCCTTACTGCCACTAAAGGGAAAATATTCATTGAGAAAAGAACCTACTCTAGAAAAGCAGAGAGGAGAAATAGAGAAAAAAAAGAAATCCAGGTCCTGGTCACATTATCTGAGTTCTGGATAAAGCCTAGCCTGAAGATTCATTCATTCCTATAGTTTGCTGGAACTGAGCTAATAGTCTTATCGATTGCTCAAATCAATGTGAACTTAACTCTGATTGTTACACATACCTTGTGAAGTTAATAACATCATCTTGATTTTATCAAAAAAGTAATAGAGCCAGAGAAGAGACACGAGGCTCAAAATCATATTAGTTCAGATGTTTTGACTTCAAGTTAAAAAGTTTCAACTATAAAATTATCTAAAAGACTTTCCCCCCAAATTTAGCATTTTCATATTACTACTAGAAAATATACAGGTTTTCGTATTTCCAGGCCTTCCACAAAGAAACTTCAGTTTACTTGCCGTAACACATTTCCTTACCATTGCTCAAGCTGTCTATCTTGTCCAATCAGATTCTCTGTCCAAATCACTCTGCCTTTAGTCATGCTCACATTCTTTTCTCTCTTCTCCATTTGTGCCTATTTAGTAACATTCATTCAGTCTCTGCTTTCATTTCTTAATGAGGAAGGTCTTGGTGGAATTGGGTCTCTTGTGTGAAGAGGTGTTAATTCCCTATGGAAACCTGGAAGAGTGGTATTCTAGGTTTGTGTAGCGGAGCTTTCTTATCCCCATACAGTAAAATCTGTATGAATTGTGTGTAAGTTCTCCAGAGATTTCCCTCAGGGCATAAAATTTAATGCGGTGTAATATAAAATCAATGCATTGAATCAGGAAGTCATATTTATTGGAGTGTTTTTTAATCGAAGAGGTAAAACATAAATGGGATGAAAATCAGGGACAGTCAAGGAACTGAAGATTCTGCTTCAGTACCTGTTGGTGGGTTTGCCATCTGTAGTTATACACACTGATAATTGGAGGTACTTACCAAGTGATAACTCAATGCTCAGGTAAGAAAGTCAGTGGCTGTGCCTTTCATAGTCACATACAATTCTGGACGGTAATGAGATCTATAAATGGTTTGCTTGTGCAAATCATCGATTTTTAGAGGTATGTAGTTGAGGGAGTGGGGTGAAGGTGGTCAGAAATAAGTTCAATTGGGTAGAAGGATGAAACCCTGATGAGTGAGTTATTTGCCCAAGATCATATGGTTAGTTAATGCCAGAGCCAGTAGAACATGTCAGTAATTCAGCTGAATCAGCATTATGTTATTTCAAGTTAAAGGGAAAAAAGATGGAGCATTTAAGTTCAGCTTAAAAAAAATTACTCGTGAAGGCAGTAATTTAGATTTCTTCCATAACTTTTCTTTATCAGCTCCTTAATAGTTGTCTGTTTTTAGTAGGATACTCTAAATTTTCTCATTTTACAAACTTATTTGGTTTTATAGGCCTGGAGCTGAATATGTAGTTTTGTCGATTAGAAATGATAGTTAATTTTTTTTCCTGCCAAGTCTGTTTTGTTAATTTTACGAGATGTTTTACATCCCAAATATTTTGTTATAGTTAATACATATATTTGCTTTTTAATATCACTATCGTCAGACTCAGTGAATCAATTGCCTTTTCCTCTCTGCTAATGTCCTAATGATATGAAATCAAGACATGTCTTCAGCTTGCTGTGTCCTTCTGTCCTTCTGGCTTCCTCCTGACCCACAGTAAAATTCTGCTGGTTTTTGAAGCATCACACAAAGGCCAGTTTACAGCTCCATTCTAGTACTAAGCTGCCATTGAATGCCTTCTATTTGAGCGAGGTAGCTTTCCTCCTTATGCTTTTTCTCCCCTGCCTAATGGACCTTCCACCCATGCCATGCCATCTAGTGATTAGGTTTCCCACCCTCACTGTCCATTCAGAAATAATCTTTCCCTCATTTATATTCCTAAAGCAGTTGTTATCACTCTAGTTCCCCTTAAATGCCAGCCTGAGAAGTGAGCATTGTATTCTACTGATAAGGGGAGACCCTGAAGGTTCTGGGAGGGAGGATGACATTGTTTTGTCAGCGATTTGAGGTACAGATTGGAGGAAGAGGTATAAAACATGGAATAGCCAGTTAGGTTTCCGTTTAATGGTAGAGAAGGTGAAGGGAGAGGAAAACAGGCAGTGAGGTGGAGCAGTGTCAGTGGGGATGAACTCGTGAGGCCAGGGGACTCCAGATTTTAAAGACTTGTGGGCCCTGACAGTGAGGGAATACTGGGGGACAGGGATTGTTGATCTGGTTGAGAGCAGGAAGAATAAAGTTGCTTTGCCCTGAGAGGGCCTCTGGAAGGGCAGTTGGATTGGGAAGAAAATGGTCATTTGTGCATGGGACTGGCAGGCCCAAAGTGACTCAGGCGGCATGTGTGCTGCCTATGTGCCCACCCACTGCTATTCCATGCTCCCTTCAGCCCAGCTCCTATCTGATTGAAGTTGAGGCCTTGGAGCCTGCAGTTTTCTATCAACCAATTAGAGAAACACCCATGTCAGAGCCAGAAAGGATCATTCTGTTGCTTCCATCGCATACAGATGGGAAACCCAAGTGCAAGGAGAGGCAGACACCCATCTCGGAGACACTGGCAGAGTTAGGACTGCATCCAAGCTCCAGACAAGCTCCCAATCCAGGTGTAACCACAACCCAGGTTCAGTTGCTCACTGCTTACAGAATCCAATTAAGGGAAGAGGTACAGGCTCCTGCCTTTAAGGACACTGCTTCACTTTTTGGGCAGAAAGCAGGGGGTTTTAAAAGGGAACTTGGCATTAAGAGAGGAGAGAGAGAGAGCAATCTACATAACAAAGATGTTGCCAGATAACATTGACTGTTATTTTGTACTTTAAAAACAAGATTTCTGAACCAAAAATACTTCGCTTCTTTATTTATGTCTTAAAGATTCACTATTACAAGTCATTGGCTATTCTTTAAAGGTGCCAATGTGAAGTTCTGTCAAAATGAGCTTGTCATTACATCTGCTGTCAAGAAGTCCAGACTCGAACTCATGCTATGGGATTGTGCATGACTTCATACTCGATATACCAGGTCCATAAAAACAACAGAAGATTCACCTACTGAAATGAGAAGACAAAATCAAAGCTCTGTGGCTGAATTCATCCTCCTGGGCTTTGCTGACTTCCCTGAACTCCAGGAGCGGCTCTTTGGGGTTTTCCTGGTTGTTTACTTGGTGACCCTGATGGGAAACGCCATCATTATAGTCATCATCTCTTTAAACCAGAGTCTCCACGTTCCCATGTACCTGTTCCTGCTGAACTTATCTGTGGTGGAGGTGAGTTTCAGTGCAGTCATTATGCCTGAAATGCTGGTGGTCCTCTCCACTGAGAAAACCATGATTTCTTTAGTGGGCTGTTTTGCACAGATGTATTTCATCCTTCTTTTTGGCGGGACTGAATGTTTTCTCCTGGGAGCAATGGCTTATGACCGATTTGCTGCGATTTGCCATCCTCTGAACTACCCAGTGATTATGAACAGAGGGGTTTTTATGAAATTAGTAATGTTCTCGTGGCTCTCAGGGATCATGGTGGCTACTGTGCAGACCACTTGGGTATTTAGTTTTCCGTTTTGTGGCCCCAGTGAAATTAATCATCTCTTCTGTGAGACTCCTCCGGTACTAGAACTTGCATGTACAGACACCTTCTTATTTGAAATCTATGCCTTTACAGGCACCATTTTGATTGTTATGGTTCCTTTCTTGTTGATCCTCTTGTCTTACATTCGAGTCCTGTTTGCCATCCTGAAGATGCCCTCAACTACTGGGAGACAAAAGGCCTTTTCCACCTGTGCCTCTCACCTCACATCTGTGACCCTGTTCTATGGCACAGCCAGTATGACTTATTTACAACCCAAATCTGGCTACTCACCAGAAAGCAAGAAACTGATGTCACTGGCTTACACGTTGCTTACTCCTCTGCTCAATCCGCTCATCTACAGCTTAAGAAACAGTGAGATGAAAAGGGCTTTGATAAAACTATGGCGAAGAAAAGTGGTTTTACACACAGTCTGACTGGGAAGCTGTGTGAGATCTGACCACTGCCGGGGTAAACTCTATTTAAATTTAAAGGGTGAGAACAGATTGCATTATTTTGTAAATATGTTAAATTTGTTGAGTTTTTAATATTTGAAAATGTATTTCTTTCAACGAAGAACTGATGTCACTTGTTTTTAGTAGATACGTACGTTCTCATAACATATGATACAACAGTTTATTCATCCATTTCTCTATTATGAACATCCAGGTAGCTACTGGATTGTTGTCATTAAGGCAGTGCTTCAGTAAATGCCTTGTTTCGTATGCTCATATGTACCAGTGTCTTTATATCTGTGTGATAGATTCGCAGCAGTGTGGCTGATAGAATGAGGAGTAGCCGTGTTTTTTTTTTTTTTTTTAATTTTTTATTGGATTTTAGGTTTTGGGGTACATGAGCAGAGCATGCAAGACAGTTGCATAGGTACGCACATGGCAGTGTGCTTTGCTTTGCTTCTCCCCTCCACCCACATTTGGCATTTCTCCCCAGGCTATCCCTCCCCACCTGCCCCTCCCACTGGCCCTCCCCTTTTCCCCCCAATAGACCCCAGTGTTTAGTACTCCCCTTTCTGTGTCCATGTGTTCTCATTTTTCATCACCCGCCTATGAGTGAGAATATGCGGTGTTTCATTTTCTGTTCTTCTGTCAGTTTGCTGAGGATGATGTTCTCCAGATTCATCCATGTCCCTACAAACGACACGTAGCCGTGTTTATAAATTTTATTAGCTGCAGAATTACTTTTCAAAATGATTAGAGTTCTTCAGACTGATCTGAAGGCTCGCCGTGCCTTGGTAACAGGGTAGAGCTTCAAGAGGCAAACAGAGTGATGAGGTTTTTATTGTTGGATTGAAAATTTGTTCCACAGATGAGTAAAAAGAAGTGCACCTATTTTTGGGGGCCCAAAATGGTTCCACTTCATGAAATCACACAAATTATAATCCCAAACTGGATTTCTCTTGACATCTTTCCAAATATTTATACAGTGTTGGTGACCAGAGAGCTACATGTGAAGTTTTCTGAATTCTCCTTTGATAATATTAGTATCTTTTTCATTTACAGACCACTGATTTAGAAACTTTTATGAAGTTTCCATTTGTAGTCTGTGACAGGAAAGTAAAATCTTGGGACCCCAAACTCACTATGCCAAAAGGAAAAGTTAAGCTTGGAAATTGACTCAGACAAAAAAACCTTTCCTTTTGTTACTAAATAGGTAGCTACAGGATAGCAGGTCACCTGTCTTCCCAGGTTACCTCCCTCGCCCTGACAATGTAAATTCACAGTGTATCTTCATGGGTACCAGACAGGAGGAGATGAAAAATTGTCCCTCTGCCCACCCTGAGACAAATGTATATTTCAGTTCTTCCTCTACTTTGTTTACTTCATCTTATGTAAAATGCAGATTTACTAGCACAAGACAAAAGCGTGGCTGACTGTTCCTCTATGCCCTTCTTTTCACATGCAACATGTGGATTCAATGAGTGCTAATCAAAGCCTTCAAATATAACCACTTGCTTCACACGTCTGCCCTCCCCTGTTTTTTCACTTTCGTCCTTCCCCTCCCACTTACTTTTCCCCTTTAATATTGAAGTCCGCAGGGCGTGGTGGATCACATCACTAATTCCAGCACTTTGGGATGCTGAGGTGGGTGGATCACGAGGTCAGGAGATCGAGACCATCCTGGCGAAGTTGGCAAAATGCCATTTCTACTAAAAATACAAAAAGAAATTAGATGGGCATGGTGGCATGCACCTGTAATCCCAGCGACTTGGGAGGCTGAAGCAGGAGAATTGCTTGAACACAGGAGGTGCAGGTTGCAGTGTGCTGAGATTGTGCCACTGCACTCCAGTCTGGGTGACAGAGCGAGAATCTGTCTCAAAAATAAATAAATAAGTAAAAATAAAAAAGTTGAAGCCCTCAGAAGTCTCTTTGTAAAAGTGCAGGCCACAAATTCTACTGTGGCTTGTGTCTCTTTTTCTCAGGTATATCCTCAGTCTTGGTAAAATAAACCTCTAAATTGATTGAGACCTGTCTCAGACATTTTTTTAGTTTACAAGGCCAAAATGTCCCTGGATACTTTGTTTATAAACAGTGAATGACTACTTTTTTATTGTGGGAAGTAAATGTAAATGATTAATTGTGCCTATTTTCTATGGTCCTTGAATGACATCACTAATTGTGTGGCTTTTCTGAGTGAATCATTTTACATGTTGCAAAATATGGATCATTTCATGCTTGCTTCCTATTTTAATGTTGCTGTTAGAGAATCGTGAGAACCCTTTATTGAATCTACATCACATACAATTCTACTGCTCTTAATTTCTGCCTCAGGAATGGCAAGAAAGGAGTAAAATACTGATACTGTGATGTTAAGATCAGGTATACATACTCTGCTAAATGAAGGGATGTCATTAAAATTCGTGTATATTATTTGGGAATAGATAATACATATATATATCCATGTGATATTTAAACTGTTTTTAGGTTTATAATTGTTAAACACCTACTGATTTTTTTGTGGTCTTTATTGCATGTGAAATTTGACATAAATATCTGAATTGTTTATTAGTATTATTTCAAATAATATAGAGTTGATTGAATTTGTGTTTAAGGAATTCCAACATGAAATCAGATCACATTATTCTAAATGAGCATGGGTATATTTGTATATGGTCTATGCACTGATTTGTAGTTTTTTTTGAGGAGATACACACTATTACTAGTGAATCTGGTTGGTCTTAATAAAGGAGCTCCATGTTGCTTGGGCTTCTGCTTGGCGTCACCTGAACTGCCCCTGCAGCGTTCCCTCTGCAGGACACACACTTTCTTTTGACCTCACTGTATCTTGCAGTCCTTTCCCATATTGTAACTTAGGTTAAGATATGTCCTTTTTTTTTTTTTTTTTTTTTTTTTTTTTTTTTTTTTTTAATATAATGGTTAGTCTAGGACGTGGTGGCTCATGCCTGTAATCCTAGCACTTTGGGAGGCCAAGGTGGGCAAATTACTTGAGGCCAAAAGTTCAAGATCAGCCTGGCCAACTTGGTGAAACCCTATCTCTACTAAAAATACAAAAAAAAAAAATTAGTCAGGTATGGTGACACGCACTGTAATCCCAGCCACTCAGGAGGCTGAGGCAGGAGAATCACTTGAACCTGGGAGGTGGAGGCTGCAGTGAGCTACTCCAGCCTGGGTGGCAGAGTGAGACTCCATGTAAAAAAACAAAAACCAAATATACATATATAGATGGGTTAGGTTTATTTTTCTTATTAATATTTCAGTTTGGGGGTAATTTCTATAAGGACGTTGCCGACTTTACCTTGCTATTTAAAAATCTGAACTTCATTATCTATTTTAAAAAACCTTGCTTTTATTTATTACAAAATTAATTTATTTCTTTTAAATTCAAGCAGTAGCAGATGTATTAAGTAAAAATACAAAAGTCTCTCTCCAAAACATCTATTTTCATCCCCCAATTCCATCATTCCTAAAAGTAACCATCTAAATTATTTTATGTCAATATTTTTTCTAATTCTTCCTATATATGTAAAACACTGATGTGTATATATATATGTATATAATTTTTATAAAATGAGAATAAGAGTTCTTTCATCTGGTTTTGTAAAGCATGTCTTTAGCTTGTTTCTAAGACTATTTTTTCTCTTCTGTCTTGGACTTTTTTGCAGTTTTGTTGCAAGGAATGCTGTATATATATGACTGACAAGATTTTGGAATTTATTGAGATTTTTCTTTTTGATAAAACATATAGTCAATTTTGTAAACGTTCTATAGATATTTTGGGATAAAAATATAGAGTGAATGAGGTAAAAGTGTTCTTCTGTCTCATATTTATTTTCATTGCCATCTGCTAAACCAACACTTTGTTATTCAAATCTTTCCATTTTGTATTTTTTTTGTTGTTGTGTGTTTGTTCTCTCAAAGTTTGAGAAAGGTGGGTTAAAATCCCCACATTTTGATTATTGTTTATCATGACATATTAGATTTAGAGATTAACATTTATATTATTCCCCACTTATACTTTTAAATATGTGTCTGAAATGTTTTTTCATACACTTTTTATTGAAATAAAAAATATGTAATGTGACAATTCATGGTTCTACATCTCAATGACTTCTCACAAATTGTATATCCTATGGCCTCCTTTATTGCTCAAGCCAGTTTAGACTAAACCCCGGGTCTTCTGATTTCCATATATTCCCTATGAGATTAATATCGTTATGTTTATTTTACAGAGAAAGTAATAGAACCAGAAAGTTGAGTGATGTGCTCAAAGTCATACAAGCCAGTCAGGACATTTTCACTCCAAGTTAAAAAGTTCTTGTGTGTGTGTGTGTGTGTGTTGGCGGGGAGCGGGGGGCATCCAGGCTTTCTACAAAGCATCTTTAATCTGCTTGCCATGACTTCCACCATTGCACAAACTGTGCATTGTATCTGCATGAATCCTCTAGCCCTAGGTCACCTGCCTTTGCTTACCCTCTCACTCCACCCCTCCCTTCTTTCACTATTGACAACATTCATTCAGCCTTTGCTCCTGCCTCCTACTGGGAGGTGTCATAGTGGAATCGACTCTCTTGTGGTAAGAGGTGCTCATTCCCCATAGACAAATGAAGGAGTGATGCTCCATGTTTGTGCTCTTGAGTTTTCTCACCTGAGAGGCCAAGTTTAAGCCTCTTTAGTTACCACAGAAAAATACAGGAAGGTCTCTATGAAGTGATTTCATGTTCTCCAGGGAGGGATTCTCCAGGGCATATAATTCTGTGCCACAAAATGTTATGGAATAAATATGCTGAATCACTTTGTTGTATTTATGAATAGGTGGCTTTTGACTACAGGAGAATCTTCTAATAAAGTAGTATGAAAATTGAAGAGACAGAGTCAACAGATAGGAAAGTGCAGAACCTGCTCCTGTGCCTTTTGGTGGGTCTTGTGTTTATAGATACCCTCACTGATAGTTGGAGATGCTGTTGAAGTGATGGCTCAGTGCTCAGGAGTCACTAGGCTCAGCTGAAATATTTGGATCAGTAGACATTTTCGGTCTGATGCTAATCAATTTCTTTTCCTTTTCAGAGAAAAGTTCAGGCAGTAAGTAGAAGTGTAAGAGCTTTGCATGCACAAATCATCATACTCTGAAAGTTTGCAACTAGAAGAGAGCTTGGTCAGTAAGTCCAACGGTTACCTCTTTCCATTGATAGGCTGAAGACTTGGGAAGGGAATGATCTGCGTAAATATCACTTGTCAGTGATTTATCCAAGACACCATGAGGGTCTTCTAAGGTAT